TCCTCCTTTTGCCATGTAGACCAGGCTAGCCTCAAACTCAGAGATCCACCTGCCTCTGCCTCCCCAGTGCTAGGATTGAAGGCATGCGCCACCTCCTCCTCCTCTTCTTCTTTCTTCTTCTTCTTTTGCCATGTAGACCAGGCTAGCCTCAAACTCAGAGATCCACCTGCCTCTGCCTCCCCAGTGCTAGGATTGAAGGCGTGCACCACCTCTTAAGACCCTTCTTCCCCAGGACCCCTGTGAGAGTCAGCCCCCAAAGCCACACAGCCCTGGCGCAGGCTCTCTCGCTCTCTCTCTCTCTCTCTCTCTCTCTCTCTCTCTCTCTCTCTCTCTTGTCTGCATACATGTTTGCTTACCACATGCATGCCTAACACCTGCAGAGATCACTGGAGCTGGGGTTACAGATGGTTGTGAGTCACCATGTGGACTCTGGGAATCAAAGCAGGCCCTCGGCGAGAGCAGCCAGTGCTCTTCATCACTGAGCTAGCTCATCAGTCCGGCCCTGACTCTGTTCCCTTTTCATAGATTTCTTTGTTTTATTTGTCTTTGGAGACAGGGTTTCTCTGTGTAACCACCTTGGCTGCCCTGGATCTCGCTCTGTAGATCAGGCTGGCCTCGAACTCACAGAGATCCGCCTGACTCTGCCTCCCGAGTGCTGGGATTAAAGGCGTGCACCACCACCACCTGGCGGTTTTTTGTTTTGTTTTGTTTTTTTCTATTAACCTACCACACCAACTGCCCTTTCCTTTGTGGCAGGCATCACCCCAAAGACCCGGTACATGACACTTATTATTGCCCTTAGCGGACAGGAAGGAGACTGAAGGCAGGCGAGATGAGGTGACCACACTTGCTCACACACTGAAGGGGCAGAGGTGGAGGCTGTGTCCCAATTCCTGAACAATGGTCTTCAGCAACACCCCCACCCAAATGTGGCCCCAGCCACTCCAAAACCGCTCACTGCAGAGGCCAAGAGGCGTCCCCAGTCTGGGTTTCTCAAGACCAGTCATGATTTGCAAGATCCCAGACATGCCCGTCTAGCCATTCCCTTATGCACTCAACACGTAGGGAATACTGCGCAGTCTCCTACTGCACGCCAAGCCCCTGGCCAGTCCCCGGGCACTCAGCAGTGAACAGAAGCAGCGCTGCTCACCGGCATGTGTGCCAGCCTAGGCTCCACCCCAAGGGGAGACTAGAAAGGGGGTGGAGCCAGGGCTGCTTCTCCTCTGTGGCTAATACACTCTTCCCAAGACAGGAGGGCCAAGGTTTGGGGCCAGAAAGGAGGCTCAGCGAGGAAAGGCATTTGCCTCTAAACCTGACACCCTGACCTTAGTCCTCCAGCCCCAGGGAGGAAGGAGAAAGCCTACTCCCTCAGGCTGTCCCAGCAAGCACACACTCACAAAGTAAATAAAATGTGGAAAAAAAAAAAAAGTCGAGGTTGGGGGCTGAGCACTTATAGCTCTTCCAGAGGACCTGAGTTCAGTTCCCAGCACCCACAGGGTGGTTCACAACCTCAGGAACGTCCATACAAACACAAAGGCAACACATTCACAAACATAAAATAAATCTAAAAAAAATTTTTTTCAAGACAGACTTTCTCTGTGTTGTCCTGGATCTTGCTCTGCAGACCAGGCTGGCCTCGAACAACTCAGAGATCCACCTGCCTCTGTCTCCCAAGTGCTGGGATTAAAGATGTGTGCCACCCCCTGGCTCTGAAAAGAATTTTAAAAGTCCAAGGTCACTGCTCGCTTCAGCCGCACACGATGATACGAAGAAGCTTAGCGTGGCCCCTGCTCAAGGATAATGAGAAAACTCTTGAAGCAGTCCTTATTTTTCCACACTGAGGAGCAGAAAGTTGTGGTGAAAGAATTGAAGGCACAAAGTCAGAAAGATAAAGTAATAAAATAAATATGGAGCTTTTTAAGTAATAAAAATCAAGCTTTGTTCAAAAAAAAAAAAAAAAAAAATCCTAGCCAGACAGAACCCATAAACTACGTATCACTCGTATGCCTTTAATCCTAGCACTCGAGAGGCAGAGGCTGGAGGATTATCACGAGTTGCAGGCCAGCCTGGTCTATACAGCGAGACCCTGTCTCAAAACAAGATAAACAAAGGTGTTCACAAGCCCTGCGGTGGGACCCCATCCCTAATCTGTGTCTGTTGGTCTAACTGAATACCATGGGCAAGCTAATTTATAAAGAAAGGAGATCATTTAGCCGACTACCCCGTCAGTCCGAGAACACGGTGACGGCATCTGTTTGGCGTCTGATGGCGATTCTCCTGCTGGGTTGTGACATACTAAAGAGCATGATGAGAAAAGCCAGTGCTCCATTTTGTTTTTTGGTTTTTGGGTTTTGTTGTTGTTGTTGCTGCTGTTGTTTTGAGACAGGGCCTCATGTAGCTTAGGCTGCCCCCTGATCCCCCTGCTTCTGCCAAGTGGTGGGATTATAAGCATGCACACCACATCTAGCCCCTCTCTCTGTCCTCCCTCCACCCCTCTCCGCTCTCGTTCACCTATGCATGTACGCACCAGTCGGTTCTTACTTGCTACCTTCTTGGGTCACGGTCTCTCTTTGTTCCCCTGCTACACAGGCTCCTCCAGGCTGGCAGGTCTGTGAGCAGCCAGTGTTCCTGTTGTCCCCGCCTCCCATCTCACCACC